GATCATAAAGATGGCAATGAACAAGTACTAGACTCAGTGCTGCGCTCATTTTATGTCGATAACTGTTTGCAATCTCTGCCCTTTGCTTTGCAGGCGCGACCACTTGTCGATAACATCAGAGAGTTGCTATCTACTGGTGGTTTCGAGATCTGACAGTGGGCCAGTAACTACCCAGAGGCCGTTGCTCATCTCCCCACTGAAGCGAAGTCCCCTACCTGCGAGCTGTGGTTGACTGAACACCAACCAAATCCCCAAGAACCAACCTTAGGCTTGGCATGGCACTGCTCCACAGACCAGATCGCCTACAGATGTCAGCCAGTGGTCCCTCAGGACTCAACAATGAGAAACATATACAGCATCCTCGCCTCTCAATACGACCCACTGCCTTTCATCATCCCCTTCACGACCCGGGCAAAGGTTATTGTTCAACGTCTGTGGCAGAACGACAGGAACTGGGACGATCCCATCAAGGGCGAGTTACTCCAGCGGTGGCAAGAGTGGGTGAGTGAGCTACAGTATCTACCAGAAATCTGTCTGCCTAGATGCTACACAGCCCCAGCAACCCAAGAGGGAACTTTCCAGCTGCATGTATTCTGTGATGCATCAGAGAGTGCTTACGGAGCAGTGGCATATTTGAGATTTAAATCGGCAGAACTTGAGCTCCACACTGCCTTTATCATGGCCAGATCATGTGTAGCCCCCCGCAAGAAACTGTCGATTCCCTGTTTGGAGCTGTGTGCTGTACTGGCTGGGGCGCAACTGTCTAGACTCCTCCTCAGTGAGCTTACTCTGCCCATTAGTGAGACTACTTTATGGATCGATTCTACCACTGTGTTGAACTGGATCCAGTCCGAGTCCTGCCACTATAAAGTGTTTGTAGGTACTCGTATTGCCGAAATACAGGAGCTGACTGAGGCCGCCAGCTGGAGGTATGTCCCCTCGGCTTTGAACCCAGCAGATGACATCACCCGGGGAAAACCATTACGTGAGCTGTCAAAACCTAGCCAGTGGATGGATGGGCCCCCCTTCCTGAGACAAGCATCCGAGCAGTGGCCAGCACGACCTACCATGAGTACAGACACTGAAGATAATACCGAGTTAAAGAAATCAGCTTTCTGTGCCTTTGTCACTACAGATTTGGCACAGTCTGATCCTGCATACAACACCTGGGCTGATTTGGTGCAGGCCACCTACCTGTCTTCTCACGGGGCGGCTGTCCTCCCTATGTCAGCAGCACAATGACTAGAGACAGAAGTTTAAATTCTCAAACAAGCACAACAAGACAGCTTCCCTGTTGAAGTACACACACTTAAATCTGGGAAAGAGGTGTACAAAGACAGCAGACTGATCAACCTTTCTCCAGAATATGACAGTCAGCTTGGCCTCATACAAGTAGGTGGACGTCTCCGGCAAGCAGAGCAGATGGACACTGACACTCTGCATCCTATCGTGTTGTCACCAGACCACCCTACTACTCAGCTCATCATCAAAGACTATGATACACGTCTCCTGCATCCTGGCCCAGAACGTGTCTTTGCCGAATTGAGACGCATGTATTGGATTTTAAGAGGCAGACAGGCTATAAGGAAGCATCAGCATCGCTGTTTGGACTGTAAGAAGTGGAGAGCCAAGCCTGTTTCACCGAAGATGTCTGATCTCCCTGCTACCCGCTTGCAATTACATCAGCCGCCATTCTGGTCCACAGGAATTGACTGTTTTGGCCCTTTCACTATAAAGATAGGCAGGAGACAAGAGAAACGGTGGGGCATTATATTTAAATGCCTTACGACCCGCTGCATTCACCTC